GATTTTTGGTAATAATCGCTGATAGAGAAACATTTTTGTACTTAGTTGCATATCTTAAAAAATTACAACTTCTCAAGTAATATCCTGTTTATCAATTTTAATAGTTTAGTCTTTAGTCCTGTGATCCTTTCTAGTTTGCGTGAGGCAAAAAAAAAAGGGCTCACTCACTATGTTTGAAAAAATTTGTTTTATTGTTATTACTATCAGCCTTTTTTAATTTTCATGGATTGATACAGAGTATGGTTGTCAGCGTTGTCTTTCTTACGTAAATCACCCGCGTCGTGGATTTTGTGCTGGTTTTGACGCTACGTAATCTCTTCTCTCTGTCCTCTAATATATATTTTTTTTTGGCAATTGAAAAATGAGCAAGTAATAACTAAATTTGATTTTTCACAATTCAGAGTGGATAGCAATCTTAAGTTACTGTCTTCAGAGGCTGCTGCTAAATTGGCTGAATTCGCTTTACAGGATTATATTGCGAAACAAGTATTTGATTTCATCTCAAACCTTTTTCTATTCTTTTATTCTTTTTACCTCTGGTCCTTTCCTAATCTATCATTTTCTTTTATTTTATTGAAATACAAAAGACCGAGGAAATAAGCTTGAAGTTTGAAAGGGCTGTTGAAGGCAATGGTTTTACGAGCACAGGTCTATTAATGGACTTCACTGAAAAGAGAACACATTGGGTGCATTTGAACTTTGAGGCAAGGGTGTTCCCCAAGGAAGAAGTGCTCCTTTTTTTCGCCGAACTCTATTTAGAGGATGGCAGTGATGATAAGTATGTGCTTGCTACATTCTCACCCGCTGAGGCCACTTGGATGCAGAAGGTGAAGGTCGAAATAGGTAAGAAATGTTTCTTTAAATTATCATCATTGGTCGATGATTAAATACCAGTTTTGTAGGCCCATTGTACTTAACTCTTCTGTTTGTTGTGGATGATTTAATTACTTGGCACATTTTGTTTTGGTACAGATCGTGGATGTCCCTGCTGCCCGAAAAACATTTGTCATCCTTGGCGTGACTTTCGGTTTGCTTTCAATTATCCGCCAAATCCAAGCTCACCCTATAGGAAAACCAATAGAGAGAGAGATACGCGATGAGTTTTTCATGACTATTCAATCGATGTTTGAGCGATAAACCTGGGAACAATCTTCGTATGCTTTTTTCATTGTCATTTGAAGGGTTAATTTGTTTTGTGTTCGCATTTTGTAGTCTGTGTCGGTTGTGTGCTGTTGACATCCTTGGAAACAATCTTTATTTATTTGTGATGGATGATCTCGTGTTTATATTACTGAAATGTGATTATTGGTGATGCGAACAATGTTAGGGATTGGAATATTTTGCACAGTTGTATTAGGCTTTTACTGACTGGCAGTACAAGATTTTACGGGTTTCACAAAGTCTTATCCTGGTATTTGGACATTAATTAGCAAGATTTATTAATGGGTTTCACAAGCACATTCTTCTCACTTGTGTCCAGGTATTAAGTTAGTTGTCATGTGTCCTCTGAGACATTTGCTATTGGCGTGTAGTCGGACGTGATCTTTTGCTAATTGCCCTATAGAGATATAAACGAGCCAAGCCGAGCCCGACTTGGCTCATTATGTAAACGAGCCATACATCAAGCTCGAGTTCGGCTCATTTATCAATGGTGAGGAGCCAAGATTGAGCCTTAGCAAACCGAATTATAGAAAATTATATAAAAAATTATTTTTTGAGCTTTATTGTACCTTGAACCGAGCCGAGTTGAACTCATGAGTGGCTCGTTAGATTTAACAAATCTAACAAATCAAGTACCATCTAAGACATTGTTACGGGAGTGTGAGGTAGTCAGACGTCATCTTTGCTTAGTTCCCTTTGAGACATTGCTACGAGGTGGGTCCTTTTCTATTTGGCCATCTTACTTTTTTCTATTTCAAATGGTACTATAACAACCTGTGAATAACTTTCACATGATTAATAATTTACCGGAATCATGTATTCTAGTGTATATATATAACGGTTTTGCTCTAATAACTTACCCGAATCATGTATTCTAGTGTATATATGTAACGGTTTTGCTTTAAAGCCAAAAGTTGGTTCTAAGTGGATTCAACCTTCTATATTCTACAAATAAACCTACCATATTAATAAAAATATATTATCGTTATTTAAGTAATCAAATAATATGGTAGATTTACTTGTATATAGAAGATTGACTTCACTATGAAGTCAACTGTTAGATTCGTAGCAAAACCGATGTATATATATAAATGTCATTTTTTTTGTTTGTAAATTTATGTAGTTTAAGGCAGACGGAAATTTGTAGTTTAAGGCGGATATGTAGCTAAATCGAATATGTCATAAGTAATACATGAGTTTGTTTTTCCTTATTACATGGAAAAAACACAATGAGAGAAATTAGAAAATGGGGGATTAGGGTTAACCCTAAAGATTTTGAAAGTAACAAAGATCAACCCCTGAACAAAAGTTCTCCCAACAAGACATAAACTACATAATCACTACACACATTAACTTGTTGAATATATAATCTATGCAAGAACGAGTGCGGGCATATGTTAAAACATATAGAGGTGTCAACAAGTGATATGTCTGAAGAACATAGCTGCATCATATAGATAAGAAAAAAAGCGAGATTCAAGATTTTCTTAAAGAAGCGAAGCATGATTCAAGTGTTTTTAACAAGACGGCCGTTTAAAAATATATAGAATTCATTGTAATGAGTCGATCAAAATTCATACTCAGCCGAGTTTTTCATACTCTTTTCCCAAAGGAACTTGTCAATGGAATGGATCGTGTAATTTCATCTTAATAATCTTTTATCTTGTTTGTGCTTCTCGAACATCGGCTGGATCCTACAGTTGCAAATGAGGGTTAATGGACCAAGTAATGTTGAGTATATATAAGTGATTTCAAGTATAAACCTATTGATTGTGAGTAGCATTTTTATTGGGTCATTATTTTTTTGATGAATAAGGGGAATCTAATGACTTGGTTTGGGAAATCTATCACTGAACACACAGAACAGAAGAGCATTCTTAGATCCTTAATACTCAAAATAAACAAAAAGAAGACTATGTAAAAGAATTCAGGACATAACCGACACTTCTTGATTAAAGTCAGATTACAAAGTATGTATAATGAAGTATCTCAAGTTCTATCAGAAATGGCAGTAGAAGGCTCATCGAGGATTTATATAGTAAAGAAGCTTCGAACTGAACACAAAAAAAATACAGAAAAATAATGAAAGCCACAACAATGGGCTTCAGCAAAATGCACATGATAGAGCAACAATGTATCAAAGTACCAAAACGACAAGTCTACACAGCACAAATTAACCAACCGAAAGATTTAAAAACCCAATTATAAAGACAATCAATATCTTTCAAATTTTGAATGTAGAAGAGTTTGACAATCTCTTCCAGCAAAAGCTGTAATTTCCTTTTTTTTCTGCTTCTCTGTCTTCAAAGATGTCTGTGACCAAAACCAAAGTCGGCAAAAACATTAAAAACTCCCCTTGTTTGCAGCACCTAGTAAATAGGATTGTTGGACATAGCGAGTGAAAAAGAATTATCAATATAGACATCAAATCGAGCACATCTTTAAGTAAAATAAAACTTTTTTGCATCAATTGATCACGAAAAATGGTGGTGAACTAAACATTGGCCTCTATCGGACTCAGAAAAATCCCCTAGTAAGTGAACTATTGGATTAGGGTAAGTCGAAGCGTGAATACCCAAAAACCACATCATAAACAAATAAATAAACATAAAGATTCAAATTGCAAAACAGTGAACTGTATGTCTTTGCATGATGCTTACTCTAGAAAAAGATAAAGCTCGCAACTACAGCCGAGAGAAACAAAAACTATGAACAAAATACTTGTGATTTGGCATGCCTAATACAAAATGTTCAGAAAAAATATGCATTGCAAGCATCGTATAACATAAATAGATATCTTGGATTCACGACTCATAACTTTCAGAAGTTTCAATACAGGCAAGACACATAACTATCTAACTAAACAAGTTAATCTATAACATTATCAGGTTAAAAAGCTTGATTAGAATGATATACACACACACAAATCATCTTAAGGGGATAGACGAATTGGAATCAAAAGCGCACTAGACTGAAGTGCACCTTTTTTTCAACACTTACACACTCATAGCTAAAGATTAACAACCCTGACCTAATCAATCCCATCTATACGAGAAACATTCGCAAACACAATTGTTCAGTTATTTGAGTTGTATATCATCGTTCATCACATCATTAGTTGAAAAGATAGGACCAAGCATGTCCAACTAGACTGCTGTTTTGAAAACCTATAAACAAGTCGTCCTATAGTTCTTATATAAGTAGACTTTCCAAGACAAAGTACGAAAAAACCAAAATGAAAAATTACTTCATCAGGATTAAAAAGTTGATTTTTTCGACCAGTTTCGATAAAATAAACCATCTACACTGATTTCATCAGGTAGAGATAAGAGCAATGTTAAGGGGGAATTGAATATGATTTCAACAGTAAAGAAACCAATCAAAATTCAAACTTAACTCAACATTAACCCAACTCCACTATCTCGAATATTATCAGTATAATTATATAACATCAAACAATCATTCTTACACATCACATCAACTTTAATTGACTATTCACACACTCACATAATTTTAACTAACCATCACTTCAAATCATTTTTATCATACTTTACATCAAATCAACTTTAATTATTTTATTTAAATATTTTTTTATTATATCCACTAACAACTAATTACACTACATTTTTTTCAAAACTAACTACAGTTAAAATACAAACAAAATAAAAACTAGTTGAAACTATAAACAATCACACCTTAAATGGCTTTACAAGCTTATTCGTATTCGAATTCAAATTCACGGTTATCGAATCGAGGAAAAAAAATTCGCTTTTACAAAAGCTTACTCCAAAAAGCCCAAATATATTAATGATGACTGGTGGCCCAAAAATTGTGGATCATCTATTCACCTGGCCCAAAGCCTAAACTTATATGTTTGTTCACCTGGCCCAAAGCCTAGCCTTTTATTTTATAAGTGTGATCGCCGGTAGGTAGTGAGTGATCAGTCAAAAATGGTGGACATTTGATTTTCACAGACGAGCCACGAGACAATTTCTTATTTCGATCGAAAATTCAGGTTTTCTTCATTTATGTTTTGTTTTTGTGCGCGTTAAGGATTTGCTCCTACATCGTTGTCCTTAATCTTCTTCAAAAATTTTATGACGATTTGGATAATCTATCTGCCCTAAATTTTTAGGGTTAGGTTACATTGGCTGGATTCAGTATGTTTTTGTTCTTTAACTTGTGATTAATGGCCTCTTTAATGTTGTTAGCTGATGAGTCTTGTTTACAAATTTTTTCGGAAGTCCAATTATGTTATTACACTTTCCTCCATTTTTGCCGTAGCTTGTATTTTTGGTAACTCGTCAATAATTCAGTTTTTGTCCTTCTTTGCGTTTCTTATCAGGTTGTTTTGAATCTAAATTTTTTGAAAAGAAAAATAGGGTTAGGTTATGTTTGGCTTGGATTATTGCCTGGTTGAATATTTTCATTTGTATACTTGTTGCAGGGAGGACGGAAAGCCTAAAAAAGGTCCAGAAAAATGACGGACATGAAGGTAGCGGAATTTCTGCACATCTTTTTGTCATCTTCTTTTCCTTTTGATGATTGTTCATAATTTAATTCAATTCTCTGTATGTCTTAAATATTCACAGGGAACAGAAGTCCCATTGCGCAGAAGTCGGAGGCTCGAAATAAAAGGGCTGTGAGTGACAATTCTTTCTTGTTTTCTTACTTTTTTTTTTTAATAAATTTTGTAGATTTTACTCTTTTCGTCTAATCTGGTTTGAGGTAGTCTTCCTTCATGTATTAACATCTTATAAGAATTGGCTCTAACCAGTTGTTGTCCTCTGCAGAAGTGTATATTAAAATAAATGACTTGATCTTTTGTTTCCTGTAGTAAGCGCAAGCCGATTACTTACAGAGAGATATTGGAAAGGCGCCAGAGAGCAGCACCACGTTTAGACCCAAATGACCCTGATGCGATAAAAAATAGGAATGAGAACGTAGCCCAATCTGCATTACAACACTACAACACCAAACATGTCGATGTTCTATCTAAATCATATAAATGTTTTGGTAATATGGTAACACTGCTTTGTATTGTATGTATAACTCGGTATTTCTATCAGGGAACTGGTTTGGAGTTTGTGAGGTTTCTGAACGGAATGTCTATGACGGGACGTGGTTTTGCAAGGGGCTTTATAGAGAGGCACTATTACTGGAGGCATTTGAACTTTGAGGCCAGGCGGCCGGATGCTGGTCCCAAGGACGAACCACTTCTTTTGTTTGCCGAAGTATATTCAGGTGGAAAAGAG